ACACAATGACACTATAACGACTCGAACCCCGCAGTCTTAAGTATAGGCATCGTTAAGATAATTTGTGGACGCCCGTTTTGCGGCTATGAATTAAAGAGACCAACTTTAAGTGATGCTAAACGCTAACATTGAAACAAATGACTCGCATGGAATTCAAATTTAACTTGCTAATAGGCCTTGGTTTGTTTCACGCGTTTTATGAGTTGTGTATACTTTAATACGCTTTTAGATGATTGACGTTTCATGACACGAAAAGACCTAAACATTATTTTGGGAAGTAGTAGGGATAAGAGAGATTCACACGAATATCACACCAAATGTAATGTCTTAAAAGTGGCTGTCTTAGCACAGGGCCTTCTTGTGCGCTACTGCAAATACATGTACATATGTATAGAGCTATGACCGAATAAGAATAGCAAGAAGTGTAGATGGTTTTGACTCTTTTCTAAGATTAAAAAGTTTTGAGCATTTTCCGTAGGCATTTGTGCGTCTTCAACAAAATGAAAACACGTACGGAGTACGGAGCTAAACTGAAAAAAAAAACACACTTAAAAAAATATCATCACCAGGAAGTAGCTGATATATTAACTCGTTGATTCTAAATTAAATTTCTGCTTGTCGCTAAGGAAATCTCAGCGTTAGTGTTAATATTAAATATAGTTGAGAAATCCGTGTCTTAGAGTGACATCAAGCCTGGTCCTTTTGAACTAACATTGAAAAGTGTGCCAAGAACATAAATGTTTACAAAAAGAGATGACTGTCATAAGACGTCATTAAGGTGTGGTCGGCTTTTATATCGGCTGTAGAAAAACGGGAAACATCTCCGTAAAAACAGTCCAGGGGTATCACTTTGTAGTTTGTGCCATAACTGAGCCCAGTTTTCGGCAAGGGTTGCCCAAAGAAAAAAAAACGCAATAAATGATGGTTCCTCTGTTACCTTGTTTCTCTACGTAATCCAGATTATCTTTCACATTGTCAGAATAGACGTGTCAACAACCTGTCACTTGATTATTACTTTGGTTCGACAGTAACAAACTTTTGGTAATATATTGCTGTGGACCCTATGTAGTTAAAGACAATTTTCAGAGTAACAAATGACCACACTATATGACTATGTCGTGCAACGCCTATTTCAAAAGGCATGACTGATCGAAGTCATCACGGAAGCATAGTAAAAGGAACAACTTTGTAATATCAAGTAAATTAATGCACCTTTAAATATTGCAGTGCATAACATTAAATATTACAGTAAGTAAGTGTATTAAGTTGCAAATTTACGCCGTTTCAGTATTTATTGAGATTTTTCTGTTAGATCTTTATTAATGAATAAAAGTCCGTCATCCCTGATGTCTTCAATTCTGTCGAAAGTCAATCTCTCTCATAAGGTTCAGAAACGCTAGCTAGATAGTAGCTAGCTCGCATTTGAGACCCATATCTTAATCTATCACAATTACAATCGATATTCATACTTGATATTTATATTTATGAGGTGAATGAGTTAAAGTAACTGAGTCTTCAGAATGTAACTGGATATACATGTACTTATATTAGCATAAAAATTGTTCTCAAAATGTGTATAACAGTTTAGATTGGTGTCTAAGATAACATGGAAAAGGATAGTCTGTCATAAAGACCTGCCCTCGTAAACAAAATACAGAAAATAAAATATTAGTAGGACTAAAATGCATTAGAAATAAAAGACATTGCTTTGACCTAACTTCTGTCAAATACGACAAATCATATCATCTTTATCTATATCGTGACTTTCTCTATCGTGTGTGACCAAGGCTCTATTCCCATAGATTTTAGATCGATCTATCCCCGCGGGGAGTCTCACTAGATTACTTTCAGATAATCCGACTTAAATGTCCGTCCCGCCTACTACAAACTGTAAGGGGGTAATTAACTTTCGTGTCCGCCCGGCTGACAGCTATTTAGCGTGAACCCCCAGGGAGTTAGGTCGATCTAAAGTAGGTCGATCTAATCTATGGAAATGGGGTGCAAGTGTTCGTTTTTACTTCAGCGAAGACACCACTCTACTGCATGCTATGTTTTGGGAACAATCTAGTCGCTAAAAAGAATGAATTCTTTCGAGTAATGCTTCTGTTGTTTTGATTTTGTTTAAGGTCACGTATAATCACTACTGCAATATTTGTCAAAAGGCTAACTGGTGAGCGGTGAGGGGGGGGGGGGGGGGCGGT